TCAAGAAAGCTTTGTGGCCCATAGAATCCAATGGTAGAAAGCTCATACAAACAGTGCGCTTTCAGAGATTTTAAAAAATACATATTAAATCATAATGAGAATATTAGTCAATAAAGTAGACTAAGTTATACACAGAAATTAAACTTTAAACCTTAATGGAGACTTTTAGCAAAAAGTATTTATCAGAGAGTGAATTCTTGGAGCAGAGGATCTGTTTTGCCTCCTAAGATTTTCTCAGTTTCTCATATATTTTCAACCTTTTCCCAGAGACTCTATTCAATGTCTTGGTCCCACCATTCTCCAAAATATATTTAAAATGAATGAGAAGGGTCTGAGATCTCCATGGTCTATATGCAGGTAAGTATTATTGTTTCTGCTCTGTATCTAGAATGTAGCTATAAATCTCATGAATAGTGAATGTCATCTCAACATATACTTGTTTGGAAGAGCCACTAATTTCAGTAGGGTTTCTAAATGTGGCTTTCAATTATAAGTCACAAAGGAACTGTTATCAATCATACCTCTTTGCCGAAGCTTCCTAACGGCAACCTAACAGCATCTGCAGAGACAAAAACTGCAAACCAACAATAACATCAGCCTGGCCAATTTCTATGTATAGCTTGCAGAGCAAAAATCAGCTTTTAAACTTTTTCAAACAATGAATAAAGCTGGCAATTTTGCAGAGAATATCATTATATTATATATTTTGCTGCCTGTTCCTAGTTATGTTTACTAAACACACCTAAAGTGTTCTTATCCAAATCAATGATGTTTTTAGCTACTTAATTTAGCACAACAAAGTTATTCCTCTGGGACTAGTGTATGTTTCACAACTGAATAATTGGCAAAATTCCAACATCACAGAAAATCATTCTTGAATTTAAATTTAAATCTTTCAAAAAAGCCCTGGTATATAGCAAACATGTTGTCAGTTTAGTACAGTTTAGCTGTCAGTTTAATACATACAACTGTAAGGTCCATCATCTAATAGGCCACATATAGGTTGGTTTTTAATCATTATCAGACTTAATTTTTTTATCTTCTGCTTATTATTATAATAACTGCAGTCAAGATAGTGAACTGCTCTGGAAAACTGACTACTTTGTACTAACCAAGACTGTCTTCTTCTGGCTCCTGCATTTAGTCCAAGTCTATCTGTTACTAATAGAATATTAGGATATATTTTTCTGAAACATTAAAAAGGTAATCCCTTCCCAGCTCCACCACAGCTACCACCACAAAAAGGAACCAAGTATTTGGCTCCCATCATTCTGTTAGGTTTGGCCACATAAAAGGAATGCTAACTGATTTCCCATGGTTTCAGGCAACATTTTTTGTACTCTGTTATAAATAAACTCATTCTCAGCATTCATTAGTTTTAAATGTTTTAGTTCACAACACTAGAAATGCAGAGAAATAAATAAAAGAATCTGCAAACTCTAGAAACAATACACAGGATACAAATTCTATGTAGCCCATCACTATTATAAAGCCCCCTTCAATATTGTAAAAATATAATAGGATTAATATTTTGCACTTTATTTGTTCAACAATTCTGAATGGGCAGCTGTCACCTCTTCTGACCATGTAATGTTTACACCAGTAATTTTTCATGACATTGATATAATTCTAAAATAGGGGTGGAAGCAAGTTGTATTAAACTTATTAAGATATCGGTAAATATGCTTAAATTTGCACTGATTATAAATTGGTGACAAAGTGCACGGTAGCTGAAATGGATAGGGGAAGAATTCTATTGCCACAAAGGAATAAAAAAAATCCAAACAAGAAGGAAAAAAGTTGTATTTCAGTAGCCAATTTGCTCCTTTAAGCTTGTGCTCCAATTTATGAAATGTTTGTCCTATAAGCATGTAATTTGGATAAGCTCACAAACTCAGGAGGACTTCATCCCAGATAAAGATACAGAGAATGGTCTGGAAATGTTACTGCTATTCTATAATCCTTTGTTTATCAACTCAAGTATTATAACAAGAAATAGAGACCTATCAAAGTCACTTCCAAGGTCAAGGTACAATATGCAGTTAATGACTCTGGGGAAACATGGACACATCCAAGGGGAAAATTTAAAAAGGATGCTAAGCAACTTTCTGCAACTGGGAGTTCATTTCATGAAGAAGTCAGCAAGTAGCACTCTGAAACAGAAAGCAACATGCTGCAAAAACTCTTCTCCTTGGCTTAGCGAAGCCCTGTAGTAATGAAATGAAGCTACAGCTTTAAATCAAAGAATGTTCTGTCCTGGATTCTCAAGAACAGAAACATCCATCTCAGGACGCATGGTGTCAATTCTGTGAATTGTAATTGACCACAGCTGTGTTGTCACCCGGGCTCTCTGTCACTTTGCCTCATGCAGGTTTCAAGCATTCATGCAACAAGGTTCTTGCTATCACTTCATGCTGAATTTCAGCAGCAGCTGGGAGCCAACTGCCTTCCCCCTTATAATGAGAACAGTAAACATGCTGTACTGTAAAACCTCTCTGGATAGAGACAGTCCTACTAGCCACATTAATTATAGAAATTTGCTAGGATTTCATTCATAACCCCCCCTTTCAGTATTTTCCACATTCATGTGCAAACAGGTTTTACATATTGTAGAACATTGTCATTTCTCCCTTAGTCATCATTTGTAGCTTAAACACCCCTCAGTTCTCTGAACTTACTCCAGTACCTCTGTGGCCCTTTTAAAATGCAGCACCCAAAACTGGACACAATACTCCAAGTGCAATCTACTCACTGCTGAGTACAGCAACTACTATCTCCTGTGATGTGGAGGCAAGGCTAACGTTAATGCAGGCCAACTGCCCTGGCCTTTTTAGCTGCTGCATTCTTAAGCTAAGCCACATAATTACAATAATAGCAGAGGAGAGGTTTTGCAGACAAGAGGCCCCAGTCCTTGTTATCTCTAGGAAAAATGGGAAAACTCCCATAAGGAATGGATTAGACAGGAAACACATATGCTCCTACTGTTTGGCTTCCTCTTGAAGATCTGAATGGATGTCAAGTAAAAGGCTACACTAAATATTTATTTGAATTTATTGGCTGCCCAACCCCAACAGACTCTGGGTGGAGTACAAAACTAAAAAGCATTAAAAAATAGAAAAACATTAAATCAACAGAATACTAACAAAATCAACAAAACAGGGGCCATTAAACAATGAAAAACATCAACCCCTCACCCGAGACTAAAGCCAAATTTTTAAAGCTTTCTGGACCCTAAAAGAGAAGATCTTCAACTCTAGGGGGCGCTGTTCCAGAGGATAGGGCTGCACAGAGAAATCATACCCGCCTAGATCCCACAATATGACAGTGTTTAATGGAGGAGACCTGGAACACATCCATTCTGCTGGAACATAGGCAGAAACAATTGGAGATAAGTGGTCTCTCAGATTTCCAGGCCCTAAGCCATATCTACATCAACCTCAGCTCAGTCTGCCTTCCTTGATCAGTTGGGGGAGGGTGAGGAAGCCATTCCATTTCTGTAATTTCTTCCATGTCACACTGTCCTCCTTTTCTCTCCTTGTGACACTCACAGGAGACAAAAGCTCTTTCTAGATTTCTGTTTGCAGTTTGCTCTCCTAATCTAAATGACCTTTTTGCAAACACTATAGGTGCACAGCAGCCATGGCAAAGTGTCACAAGATGGAATGACCTCCCTGATTCAGCCGTTCCAAAAGAAAAAAAAATATGTACAGGAAGGATTTTTTCTCCTTGGACTGGCTGGCTATATCTCCATCACTTTCCCCATTACATTTACAGGCTCTTACATAAAAAATGCTCTGTGTGTGTAAATATATGTGTTTGTGTAGATAGATAGATGATAGATAGATAGATAGATAGATAGATAGATAGATAGATAGATAGATAGATAGATAGATAGATAGATAGATAGATAGAGGGGAGAGGAATATTTAAATTGAAGCCAAGGGAATTGAGAGAGGATTTAGAGAATCACACACATTTTCACCCCTCATATATTCCCCCTCCTCAGTTCCTTATCCCCAACCCTCCTGGCAAATCTCGAAAAAGAAAACTAAAACATTGAGTGTGGGGCTTCAGAGAGGACAGAAAATTCACCATTATTCTTTTAATTCCCCAGTCCAACTTTCTTTATCCATAAGACAGCTCCTTCTTACCTAAAACTTTCCTTATTTTGATCAAAATTAATAGTGGTGTCAGCATGAAGGGTGGGGGAAACCAGTTGAATCACTTCTTTTAAAAAAAAAGTTTTTGAGAAAGGCAAAGGACAGATCCCAACATTCAAAAACAAAAACAAAAAAAACCAAGTTTTGCCATTTTCTTTCCCAAATACAAAATCATTAAGCCTCATTTCCTGGCGATCGGAAAAAGAGGGGGACCGAATCTTTGTACTATGTTTCATCCTTCTTACCACTTGCTTTTTGAGTCTGCACAACACATAGTATCCGTTTACAAACATTGCAGCCGCCAAAACAACCCTTGCTGGGGGCTGCACCGCAGAAACGACAGAAAGCCGAAAAGGAGGCAGCGGCCCAAGCTGGAAGGTGATCCCACCTCCCTCCCCATCTTAAAGGTCACCAAATGCCGTCTTATTCTGCCGCTCGCCCCAGAGCTTCGCTTTTGCCCTATAGGCTCTTCAAAGAGGAAGGTGATCGAGCCAGACCGGGGCCTTTGCAATCCAAGCCAGCCCCACCGGGCAGCCCTAATCGCCTCCATAATGTGCTTCGCGCCGCCCACATGAAAAAAGGGCACACGCGGCTTAAAGCCCACCAAATGTCAACGGCTCCTGATCGAGCTGCTCCCTTTTAAATCTTCCGGTCAGGTTGGCTTACATTTGCACCCCAACCGCTCCCAGCCCGTCTCTCCTCAAACGAGCCGCCTGCGCCACATTTGGCGGAGAATTTTCCAGCGTCCGGGAAGGCTTTGAACGCGCTGGGCTAGCCCCCTCGATCCGGAAAGCTCAGCCTTCCTTCACAACCTGGCGGCCTCCAGGAGCGCCTCCTTACCCAAGAAACTATCCGGAGGATGGTGTGAGGTTGCCGGATGAAGGTCTGGGGGTCAAAGGCGCCTCCGGCTTTGCCAGCTCCGTACGCGCCCGGTTCCATCCTCGGAGCAGCCCCGCTGGCCAGACCCGCCGAGCTGCCTTCCCTCTGAGCTGTTCCCTCGGCGAGAAAAGTTTACTGCGCCAGGGATGCTCAGCGAGAGGGCAGAAAACCGGGCTGCGCCTTCCAGCAACCAGAGCGCAGCCCGCAGAAAGAGGCGGCGGCGGTGTCAGCGGAGGGAACGGCGCCGAAGTGAAGCGCGTGCGAGGTCGGGAGGTTCTGGTTGGGAGTTAGTTCTGCCTGACAGCCCCGCCCTCCCTTCTTGCTCCCTGCCCCGCTTGCCTAGCTGAACCAAGAGAAGAAACTCGCGGGCGACGACTAAGGCTGGGTGGGAAAAGCAACCCGCGTACGCGGTACACGGGACTGCCGAAGGAAGCCAGGCGCGCTCCCGATTCGCAGCAGCCGAGGGGCGGCCGCGAGTCCTAGTGACGGCGCGCGCTTACGTGCGCCCTCCGTCCTAGCAACTTGGGAGGCGGGGGGAAGGTGGGAAGGACGCTGCGGAGCTCCGCTTCCCTCGGCCGCGAAGGCCTTTCCAGGGAATGCGGTCTGCTTTTAACGAGGCGGGTTCGGGTCCGGAGCCTACCGTACTTTAGGAACGGACTGCAGTCCTCCGATACGTAACCCAGTGAGCGCAAGGGCTTTCTTTTGGATAGAGAGGACTAGGTCTGTGCTGGCCTTCGTGAAGGTGATAATTAAACATGTGCTCTTCTTATATCTTACAAAAACAAGATACAGAAGACACAAGATTAGAGACCTCCTGGGTTAAATGGAACTTCCTTACTCTTTCCTTGTGTACCGTTTTTTACAGCAATTAGCTTATTGGCCGTTGTTCTTACAGACATCTTCAATCATTCGTTGCATCAGACCGTGGTGCCGTCATGTTTTAAGACTGCAATCATTGTACCAGTGCCCTAAAAAAATCTATAATCATATGCCTTAATGATTACCATCCAGTTGCACACGCTTCCATTATGATGAAATATTTTCAGAGATTGGAAAAGGACTATATTGTTTTCATGTCTTCCCCCTACATTTGACTCATTACAGTTTGCCTATCACAGAAGTGTCAACCCGGCCAGATGCATCATGGTGAAACCACGCCCAGCCCATTGCCAGCAATGGAAAAAAAAAGTCACGATATGTCGTGACACGTTAGGGGACATTGCGAGTTTGACACCCCTGGCCTATAGGAAGAACCGCTCTATAGATGATGCACTTTCCTGTGTGCTTCATCTTAGCTTGGCGTAGCTAGAGGAAAAGAATAGTCATATGCGAATGCTGTTTGTTGATTTTAGTTTGGCATTCAACACAATCATTCCTCAGAATTGGTGAACAAACGGGGCCTGTTAGGTTTTAATACTCCTTTATGTAACTGGATAGTTGATTTCCTTATTGATAGGCCCCAGGTTGTGCAAATTGGAAGAAAGGTTTCCAACCCCATCTCCATTTCTTTGAGTACAAGTTCCCCACAGGGCTGTGTCTAGATTCTAGAATCTGTTACTGATCACCTTGATGACCCATGACTGCTGTGCCAAATCTGCTATGAATCATATTGTGAAGTATGCAGATGACACGGTAGTGATGGGTCTTATCCGGGATGACAATTAGGATGCTTATAGGCTCTGGTGGACTGGCGCAATAAAAGTAACCTGGTTCTGAATGTTAATACAACAAAGGAGATCATTGTAGATTTTAGAAAGCCGGCTTAGCCATACTCCACTCCAATGGTTCCCAACCTTTTCTATACCGTAGAACACTTCTGATATATTCTTGCACCCCTTAACAAAAGTTCAAAATAACAGCAACGAATTATGCGTTTACAGTATAATTTTGAAAACCCAAGTTTTCGCACCCCCTGGAATATTGTCTCACACCCCCAGGGAGTGCGAGCACCCCTGGTTGGGAACCTCTGCTCCACTCTGTATGAAGGCTGCAGCTGTGGAGGTGGTCAACAGTATTAAGTATATGGAGGTGCAGATAACTAACAATCTGACTTGGTCTCTCCACACATCATCCTTAGTGAGGGGAGTACATCTTTCTCCTGTCCTGGCCACTTTTTACAGAGGCATGGTTGAGAGCATCTTAACAAACTGCATCACTGTTTGGTTTGGCAGTAGCAGTGCCTCATATAGAAGGTCCATACAGAGAGTGGTAAGGACAGCTGAGAAGATTATATGAAGCCCATTTCCTGTTATTCAGGACACTGTTTATAAGTGCTATGTGTTTAGAGCTCGAAGCATTGTTAGAGACCCTACATACTCATTTCACGGTCTGTTTCTGTTGCTCCCTTCCAGGAGGAGGTTTTCTAGCAGGGCTACCAGATTCTATAACAGCTTTGTTTTCTATGCCATCCATCTGGTTAAAAAAAAAAGATTTGTTTTTCTCACCATATTTATGTATACCCTAGTAAGATCATACCTGGAATACTGCAACCAATTTTGGTCACCATACTACAAAAAAGATGTTGAGACTTTGAAGAAAGTTCAGAGAAGAGCAACTAAGATGATCAAAGGCTGGAGACTAAAACATATGAAGAACAGCTGCAGGAATTGGGTTTGGCTAGTCTAAAGAAAAGAAGAAATGGTAGGATAACAATATTCCAGTATTTGAGGGGCTGCCACAAAGAAGAGGGGGTCAAATTATTCTCCAAAGCTCCAGAAGGCAGGACAAGAAACAACAGTTGGAAACTGACCAAAGAGAGAAGCAACCTGGAATTAAGGAGAAACTTCCTAACAGTGAGGACAATTAACCAGTGGAACAGCTTGGCTTCAGAAATCGTGGAGGAGAACTTGATGTGTCAAGTTTAGTAATTTTGTGTCACTTTAGGTATTCCTAAGAAAAGTATCCAGCTGTAGTCTATGGAGCTTCTCAGTCATCCAGGTCATAGTTGTCCCAAAGGTGCTTTTTCAAAAGGCAACTGGCATTTCTTTGTTTTTCCTTGAAGATGTTTTGCTTCTCATTCAAGAAGCTTCTTCAGTTCTGAACTGAAGCTTCTTGGATGAGAAGGAAAATGTCTTCAAGGAAAAGACATTTCCAGTTGCCTTTTGAAAAAGCACCTTTGGGATATCCAGTTTTAGGTTACATTTACTGAGAGAACTTTGGGAAGAGTTGCCTCTTCATTTTTGTCATCTCTTTACCTTTAATTTGATCCAAAATAACTCCTGCAGAATTCAGTGGGGCTTATTTCGTAATAAGTCCCCAGAATTGCAGTGTTAGAGATTTTTAACTCTTGCTACTTGCAGAATTTTTAGATGGCAAGGCAGTCACTAAACAGTTGTCAGGAAAATAGCAGATACCTTTTACCAAACTTAAAATAACAATGGCAACAAAACTAGTAAAATCATTTCTAGAAATATACTGTCAGTATGTATATTTGTTCATTTTCAACATCGGTGATGGCAGAGACCGGCCAATATGTAGCCATACGTAGCCATACGTAACGGCAGAACAGGCTGAACTTAGCTCAGCAATGTTTTGCATAATTTTGTTTTCGTCATTCAGTTCAGCAGTTATTTGCTGAGGAATTAGAATGGCCCTGAAAAACCAGTTAGCCAATTGGTCATGCAGCATTAAATTGAAATGGGTTTTATCTTTTATTATTAGAGGGAAATAGTTCATTTGCAACCCTCCACAAGCCTTTAAAATAATGAGAATTTATTTAGCTAAAACTCTTTTGATACCTGGAATTTCAATAGCTCTGGAACAATCATGAAAAACATTTTTGGGCAAATCTTAAGTATTAGGGGAAAGGAATAGATAATTTAAGTTACTGCAGATGACAATATGTGTCCCGTTTACACACTCTGAAGATATTTATCAGGATTGTTGGGAACAGCCATGAAAATGCAAATAAATAAATGTTACACCATTAGGAAACTCTCTGGTGGCTTTGGAGTATCAGATTTTCTAAATCATTTTTCATTAAAAACCAGATAATGTTTTCTAGATAAAAGTGCTGAGAAAGTTACAAAACTTGCCAAGTTGCAAAACTAAACAAAATAGCTTGATTTGTCATTCAGTCACTATTTGATTTACAAAGCAATAGCAGTGTTAGAACCTTGCGAGAAACGGTCTATCACTCTTACCTATCTCATTTTGAAAACGAATAAACATATAGAACAATCTAAACTGTGATTAGCTTTTTAAGCATAGTTTTATTTGATTATGAACTCTGTTAAATGTATTGTTCTATAACTATAGGAAAAAAACAGTTGCTGCCTGTCAAATAGGACTGTTAATTTGTACATACTTTGCCCCTCTATTTTTCATTATAATTGCTTTTAACCACATCTACTCTAGATAAAGCTTTATCTGGACCAGTAGAAGGTGCCGGGCTTATTCATAATATGTGTTCCAACATCAGTAAGGCTGAGCCATACTCTGAAATATTTTCCTATTTAACAACTGGAGGCACTGATCCAAGTCTTATTAATAACAAATAGGTAAATAAGGAGTTAATTAAGATTTTTTTCCAAAGTAGACCTGTGCTGTGAATTTAACATTTAATTACAGGATCAGGATATTCAGGATTATGTTGTTAGACTTATACGATAGAAATTAGCAATTGTGGATCAGCCTACTCTTTTTTGAAATAATGCCTATTTATACAGAAAAATTTGTTCACATAAATCATTTTTAAGAGTCTCCACAAAATAATCTGAGATCACTCAAATTTAAAAGCCATAATTTAGTTCCCTGCTATTTGTTCAGAAAGTCAGTTGACTGGGTTCATAACATGCTAGACCTCCAAAACACTAGTATGACTTTATGCAATATGTAAATTTTGTTAAATCCATGCTGTACATACTGACCTAAAAAGGTTGTTGACCTGCATTTGGCAAATAACAATATATTACACCAAGTATATGAGTATTAATGAAAATAACGTCCTTAATCTTTGCCATAGATATCAAAACTGTGTTCATTATAAAGCAATATTCCTCAGCCTAATATCCTCCTGCATTTCCAGTCAACTTGTAGTACTGTACCATAAATCCTGGAGCACTGGGGAGCTAGCAGAGGACTGGAAAAGAGCTGATGTAGTTCCCATCTTCAAAAAAGGGGAAAAAACGCATCCAGGAAACTACAGACCTAT